ATTTGGAAATAAAATAAAATTTTATTCAACCAAATTAATTCCACACAGGAAATTAAATTCTGTAAAATAAAAGAAATAAGAATATAACTTTTATTTTTCAATTAATTTGGAAATAAAATAAAATTTTATTCAACCAAATTAATTCCACACAGGAAATTAAATTCTGTAAAATAAAAGAAATAAGAATATAACTTTTATTTTTCAATTAATTTGGAAATAAAATAAAATTTTATTCAACCAAATTAATTCCACACAGGAAATTAAATTCTGTAAAATAAAAGAAATAAGAATATAACTTTTATTTTTCAATTAATTTGGAAATAAAATAAAATTTTATTCAACCAAATTAATTCCACACAGGAAATTAAATTCTGTAAAATAAAAGAAATAAGAATATAACTTTTATTTTTCAATTAATTTGGAAATAAAATAAAATTTTATTCAACCAAATTAATTCCACACAGGAAATTAAATTCTGTAAAATAAAAGAAATAAGAATATAACTTTTATTTTTCAATTAATTTGGAAATAAAATAAAATTTTATTCAACCAAATTAATTCCACACAGGAAATTAAATTCTGTAAAATAAAAGAAATAAGAATATAACTTTTATTTTTCAATTAATTTGGAAATAAAATAAAATTTTATTCAACCAAATTAATTCCACACAGGAAATTAAATTCTGTAAAATAAAAGAAATAAGAATATAACTTTTATTTTTCAATTAATTTGGAAATAAAATAAAATTTTATTCAACCAAATTAATTCCACACAGGAAATTAAATTCTGTAAAATAAAAGAAATAAGAATATAACTTTTATTTTTCAATTAATTTGGAAATAAAATAAAATTTTATTCAACCAAATTAATTCCACACAGGAAATTAAATTCTGTAAAATAAAAGAAATAAGAATATAACTTTTATTTTTCAATTAATTTGGAAATAAAATAAAATTTTATTCAACCAAATTAATTCCACACAGGAAATTAAATTCTGTAAAATAAAAGAAATAAGAATATAACTTTTATTTTTCAATTAATTTGGAAATAAAATAAAATTTTATTCAACCAAATTAATTCCACACAGGAAATTAAATTCTGTAAAATAAAAGAAATAAGAATATAACTTTTATTTTTCAATTAATTTGGAAATAAAATAAAATTTTATTCAACCAAATTAATTCCACACAGGAAATTAAATTCTGTAAAATAAAAGAAATAAGAATATAACTTTTATTTTTCAATTAATTTGGAAATAAAATAAAATTTTATTCAACCAAATTAATTCCACACAGGAAATTAAATTCTGTAAAATAAAAGAAATAAGAATATAACTTTTATTTTTCAATTAATTTGGAAATAAAATAAAATTTTATTCAACCAAATTAATTCCACACAGGAAATTAAATTCTGTAAAATAAAAGAAATAAGAATATAACTTTTATTTTTTTTTCAATTAATTTGGAAATAAAATAAAATTTTATTCAACCAAATTAATTCCATACAGAAAATTAATTTCTATAGCACTTCAAAAATTAAAATACTAAAACAAAATTTTAAATAAAGAAAACTCATAAAATAATCTCTAAAATCCAAAATTAATTTCTGAAAAAATTCCACAAAAAATATATTCTGAATTGTTAATGGCACCAGTATCGTACTACTAGTTGTTGTCAAAGAAAAGCGACAGTATATTACTAATATCTGTCAAATAGCATATAATCACTATTTATTTTTCTAACTAGAATATTATTCTGTAAATCTAGAGAAAATAATTTTCTTCTGAAATTATTTACGAAGAATGAAAAAAAAGAAACAAACGAAAAATTCTGTAAACAGAATAATTCGGATCTGTCTTAAGATTGTTGGAACAATCTTCTGTGTAAAAAAAATATTGTCCGCTTTGGAGTTAAGGGAGCTGGTCCCCCTCTCACGGTTTTAAAAGGCCTATTGACAAGTGAAGGAGGCCAGTGCGCTTTGTAAGATGGAAGTGAGAGTTCCTTCTTGGTTGATGTGGGATTGATCCAACAACTGTAATAGATATCCACCAACACTTATAATATTATATGAAAATATTATCTGTATATATCTTTTAAAACCAAAAAATTCTCAATGTACTAGAAAGTGACTGAGACAGAGTGCGAACATGTAATCTCTCTCCCTCTCTCTCTCTTGCATGGAGAGTATAGAAGCTATAAGATTTCGTGTGGTGACATTCTAAGCAAATCGCAGAAATCGGAGGAATTGAATGGCTTCTCCTTAAACCTTCACTCGATACCATCTCTGATCTCTCCTCCTACCTTGCCCACGTTTTTAACCTCTATGACTCCTGTCCTAATGGCATCATCCTCTTTGTAAGTCGAATGCTATAACACGATTGATGATGATTCATATGTGTAATATCGCATATCTTGTTGCCCTCTAATTTCGTGTCTTGTATTACACAATTGGTGTGTTTTTATATCATGAGCAATAGTAATTTTGTGTTGCTTTTAATGGAGATTGAAAATATACAGCGGTAGTGAGTGGCTTTGATACGATTTCGACCAATCGGCTCTTATTGGTTTGGCAATCTTATGTTGTTAAATTTTGTATTTTCAAGTGTACTTTGTTAGGATTTTTCTAGGGTCCCAAAAACCATTCTTGAGATTGGTTAATGCAAAAATACAGCCTTTAATTGATAATGATCGAAACTAGAAAACAATGTGATTACTACTGGAAAAGGAGTTCAGTGTGTGAAAAGAGGGTTGAAGTGGTTTGTATATAAAGGGTATAATTGGTGTGTACGGAATGATAACAAAAATTAATAATCAAACTACTACGTGTATGCAGCGAGAAAATATGTGCACTGAGATGACTATGCGTGTGGAAATAGAATTTATCGAGTTTAATTTGTTCAGTTTTTTTTTTTATAGATGTTAAAAAAAATATATTTGTTATAAATTTAAAAAAAAAATGTAAAGTAAATAAAATAACAATAACAAATCAATGACAATAATATCTATTATTTTTTTTGCTTTACCTCTTTTTTTTTTTAATTTTATTAACAAAGGAGCACCTAGGGTAAAATCAAATAGTAGAAATATTATTTAGACTATCGAAATAGTGAAAATATTAAGGAATTTTTAGTTTAAAGATTCTGATATTAAAATTTTATAAGATATAAAAGGTATATAGTGTTTTCATAATTATTAGGATCTCTTAACATTTTTCATAAAAAAATTTTAACTATTCACAAAAGAATTTCAACTTTTTTTAGGATGAGTTAAATTTTTTCTAATAATTTTATTGAAAAACCTTAACTAATAAAAAAATCATATTTGACTTCTCCTATTACTCCAAATTAGAAATAATGTTTCACTTTTTTTTGTTTTGTTTTGTTTTGTTTTTTTTTTTTTTTGATGAAGATGTTGTTGGAACAATCTTCTGTGTAAATAAAATAAACTGAAATTAAATCAAACAAAATAAAATAAATCTTATAGAATTTATTTCGTTGAACCGAATAAATAATTCAATACCAAGTTGAGTGTGTGACACTCTGTCCTTAAGACAGATTCGCCCCGCTACGGTACTTACGATAGAGTGGCGTCTATCTTCCAGGATACAATGATCTTCACAAATTGTTTGATTGTAGTAGTACTCCAAACAATTTGTTCGGCGAACTAAACCTGTGTTCTAACTCTCTGTATATTTATTCCTAAAATTATAAATGAAGAATAAAGCACTAAAAGAAATATGGACAGCAAAGAGAAAAATTTCAGATTGAAAATCTCGGATGGAAAATTGGATTACCAAGACTCAATATTCCGGGGATCTCGAATGCTGGATTTATGGCTGTATATATAGGAAAAAATCTCTGCCCCGAACAGGTCCCAAAAAGTGAATAAACAGATGCAACTGTTGATTCAAACAAATCTGACCGTTGGTGCAAGAACACAATATTCAACCAATGAAAAGTGAACCGTTGGTGGACCAAAACAAACCTGTTGCCACTTTATTTATTTAAACTATTTCAATATATATATATATATAAAACTAATGAAATAGTTAAATAAATAAATAAAGAGGTACAAATTGTAAGAAACTTTTTAGGAACTTAAAATTAGAATTTAGAATTAAATTAAATTCTCACAATTACAAATTTTAGAAAACCACTTAAGAACTCAAAATTTAAATTTTAAAATTAAATTAAATTCTCACAATAATTTTTATTGAAAAAATTCAAATGAATTTTATCTAAAAAATTAATGTTAGACCCGAAAACGACGTCAACTTCCCATTCACTCATAAATGGTTTTAACATTCCGTCTTCACCGTGTAAAATGGTTTTGACGTTCCGTCTTCACCGTGTGACTTGCCACGCGATAAGGAACAATTCACCTTTTCGAACACATTCAAAATTTTGGCTCAAAAATATGCCTATATTAAACCATTTTTCCAACAGATGTTTCACTTACCTATCAAGGCTATTTTCAAATTAGATCATATAATAATTAATGTGGTAACTATTTTTTAAAAATCTATCCTACACTAATTAATGTGGTCATTCACAATTGACAATGTGTTTAACAAGAATGTTCACGTAATTCAGATATATATATATATATATATTGAACTTTTGTCCTGTCTTTTTTTCTTTTTCAACAATGCTTATAAAATAATTGTTCGAATAAGTGCTAAACAATCTATAAATTCATCTTTCTCAATATCAATCAAATAACATAAAATTTCAAATGTAAAATTGCAAATATATTGCATTTGAACCCACACTAGTATATATAAAATTTCATTCATGATATTGAGATTTTTTTTTAAAAATAAAAATAAAACTTAATCAATTGGTTCTAGATTAATTGGCTTAGATGTTTGTTTACTAAGAGACCAAGGTTCAGCTCTTATTATATACAAAATTTTTCTTCCTAAATTAAGGCCTGCAATATGTATATATTAGAAAATTCTATAATACACGAGCAAAAGATTTAACAAAAGCAATTGTTGATCTTGCAAATATCAGATGCAAAATTTAACTAATAGAAAGAGGCCCTCATCATGTACAAAACCGTACTCATGTAGAGAAAATCCCCAGGACTCTCTATAGATTAGTAAATGTCTCTGTGCAACAAAAACACAAGCAACTGTTGAGCACTTACAACAAAACCAAAAGGCCACCAATCCCTAATCTTCACCACCACCACCATCAATCCTCACTAAACCCAAGTAAAAGATCCAGGATTTATACAAAACAAGTACCCATTAGTAATGCACATATATATGCCCCATACATAGTACTAAAATCCCCAAAAAAGGCAATCTGTAGATTAGCATTTCTTTCTGAGACAAAAACACAAACACCTGGTAAGCATTTTACAAACAAAGCAGACCAGTCGTCTAACTCTCATCTTCATCACCTCCATCATCCTCCTCATCATCAGACTCTCCAAACCCACCACCCAATTCACAAATCCGATCCCACATATCATTCGGAACCGGCACAACCGACAATCTGGGCTGCCTGAACAGACCAAAACCCTTCAACCCATCATCTCCTTTCAACTCCTTCAGGTCCACCGACCTCTTCATCTCCCCCACCGCCCTCACATCCACCGCACCACCACCACCGTCTTCGTACCATTCTCGGACGACGGAGACTACGCCGACGATGCGGCGGGCTTTGGGACCGGAGTGGTAGAAGAAGCAGAGGTCGCCGAGGCGCATGGACTTGAGGTTCTTCTGGGCTTGTTTGTTCTTCACTCCGTCCCAGTTTGATAAGCCTCCGTTGGCTGCTTGGTCATCCCATGACCACTCTCCTACCTCTGTCTTCAGCAGCCAAAACTGCTTCTCTTTCCCCATTTTCTGTTTTTTGCTGACTCTAAATTTGCTCTGTTTCTTGGAGAAGCTTTTTCGTTAATGGTGGGTTTTTATGGCGGGAAATGCAGGATTTGGCGCCAATTGTGCCGATTGGTCAATTCACTCCGTACGTCTTCGGATTTTATTGGGGAAATCACTATTAAGTATAAATCTTAAAAATTTATTACACATTAATGAAAAAAAAATTATAATTGTAATTATAATTTTTTTTATAATATTTATCATATTTTTGTAATTTTTTTTCTAACACAATTGAGGTGTGATTTTTCTGATTTTATTTAGGAAAAATTATAAAATATTTTTTAATTATTAATATTTGCAAAACTTACGCCAACCATAGTCCAATTTCAAAATCAACATTAAGACAATTTGATAATGATTTTTGTTTTTTACTACATAAATTTAACATTTTAAAAGAAAATTTTCATAGTCTAAAATAATGTTAATACATTTGGACAATAAAATTTCAATTATTATTATAATAAGGGTCATACTAACAAGTGTTTTAAGAGCATAAGAAAAATATAAAATAAGTGTAGAATCTAATACATTTTTGTTAAATTTTTTTATAACATTTTTCACTCATTTTAAAATATTATTTAACATTTTCATTATTTTCTTAATATTTTTTATGCTAATTTTAATATTAAACAATACATATGGAAACATTTCCTCTATAATAAAGATACTTGCATAAGCCCACCCAAAACAAAAAAAAACACCTAATAATTTTCAATTTGTGTAATATGAAATTTATGTGTAGAATAAATCTAAATTATTCTTATAAAAAATTAAGATTTTAGAGATCAAAATTTTCGGAGGAAAATTATTTTTTAGTGACCAAATATTTTTGTTACGAAAAGTACCGTTATTATATTTTAATAATAAAAATTAGACATTAGTGATGAATTATTATTCTTTGGGGACTAAATTTTTTATCTCAAAAAAAAAAATCATTTTGTGACCAAATTATTTTGTCCCTAAAAGTCTATTTATTAGTGATATTTTCAAAATTTTGTCACTAAAAATTTTATTTTTAACTTTTCGAGACGACTTTTTAACGACTATCTTCGTGACGATAGAAATTAATCCTTAAATATTTTTTATAACAAAATTTTTACTTTTAAAAACTAAAATATTTAATTTCTAAAACTCTTATACGTTAGGTATACAAACTGATAAGTCTAAATAATTCCTCAATAGTCAAATCTTAATTTATAATGTTACTGTTTTTTATAGGACTGGTGGGTGACTCTAGACCTGTCACCTTTCCACAAGCTGGTTAAAGTCTCAACCTTTCCTATATGAATTGTGGTAGTTTTTTTTTTTTTTTTTGGGGGGGGGGGGGGGGGGAGTATATAAAATTTGTGTTTTCGGGTGCTTAATTGGTCCAATTTCATTACCTCAAGTAATTCAGCGAGTCAAAATCCTACCATTCACCACCAAATCATGATAAATGGATTTCTATACGACTCCCTTTGAAAATGGGTTATTTTTTACCTAACTTGAGTAAATGGGCAAATTATATTTTAAAAATAAATTATCAATTCCTAGCGACACAACTAAAATTGAGGATAGATATCAACAAACAACATTATGGGTCATGCATTTTTATTGTACAAATGAAGACTTTGTCATGGGTTCAATAGTCTCGAAACAACCTTTGTTATTATTTACGTAGTATTTTAAACTAACTATATAATAAAAAATTTTATAAATAAAATATATTAATTCATTTTATATATAATTAAGAGGTAAAAATAACATAACACGTGTTGAGAGATCTCTTTGGTCAATAATACTACTTAAACAATGATCTTTCAAGTGAAAATAATATATTTTTATTTTTTTTAGACGGTGAAATCTGATAGTATTTTTTTTAGTTGAATATATGGGGCAAGTTTTGTGATGATAGCTTCAAAGCAACGTAAACAATGAACAAGATAAGTACAATTCGGGACCAAGAGTGCTAGTCAAATATTTTAAGGAAAAGGAGCCGTAGCTCGAATATATTGGCTTGAATTGGCTCAAAAGTCCTTGCCTCCCTCGCCTCTTTTCTTTCTTCTTTTTTCCTCTTTTCCTTTTCTTGTTTTTCAATACAGACATAGGAGAAAGAGGGAGAGAAGAGAGTAAGAAGAGAGGAGAAGAGAAAGAGGAGGGGGAGAGGGAATGGAGAGAAGAGAGAGCCCCTCCGCTTCTGTCGTCGGCCGATCGTCGCAGCTCGTCGCTCGTCCGTCGTTGCCTCCGCCTCTTCCGTCGCTGCCTCTTTTTTCTTCTTCTTCTTCTTCTTCTTCTTCTTCCTTCTCTTCTTCTTCTTCTTTTGGTTGATGTTGGTCCCTCCGCTTCTGGTTCTGCTTCACCTTCATCTTCAAAAAAACGAAAATAAATCTCCAAAATGGCGTGGCTTTGGATTCAAGCTAATTTCGAGCTCGACAATTTCGAGGAACGTAGCAGTTCTGATGTTTTAATGCCCAATTTTGGTCAACCAATTATTCAGTGATTCAATTGATTAATCAATAATTTTTTTTTTTAAAAAAAAGAAAAAAAAAGAAAAAGAAAAAGAAAAGTCATACCAATGTCTAGAAGACTCTTAACTTGCAACAAAAGTAATTACCTGGTGGCTTGGAGTAAGAGGACTTTTTTTTTTTTTAAAAAAAATAAAATAAAATAAAATAATATGAGACCATCAAATAACTTTTCATATATGAAGACATGAGATATTGTTGTTTTAATTTAAGGTTATTTTGGAAAGTGACTTTTAAGTTAACATTTTGACTTATTATAAAAAAAACATGAGAAAAATAAAGTGATAATATGAGCTAATGACTTATAAACTTATTGTCTTGAAACATTAATCTGATGTTCGAAATCTAATGTTCGAAACATTAATCTGATGTTCGAAATCTAATGTTCGAAATATTAATATGATGTTTAAAACATTGTAATGGGACTTTTCAGTCTATAAGAAAACTTTTAGGACTAAACAGTGTATAAGTTATTAATTTGAGATTTATTGGTGCATCCCCCTTAAAATAATTATTAAGATTAATTACACGTATCTTCCTTAAGACTTTTAACAAATACCTGGATTTTCCGGTTAAACTTCTCGTCTAACTAATGCATAATTACTCTTTTACCCCTTTACAAAAATCAATTTTTCATTACACATATATTTCAAAAGAATATTTTAAAAAATTTAATACTTAGACCAAACATTCCTATCTTCAAAATCAAAGACCGCCTTCCCTGAGGTTACTCCCCTAATTATTTTCTCTCTAAACCTAATAAATAGTTCATTAGTGATAGAAAGTTGTAATTTTAAAATTTAAAAAGAATTTTAATGATGTAACCAAAAAAAAAACTTTTTAAAACATCGCTACAATCTTTTTTAAAATTTTAAAATTAAAGTTATCAATCTTTATGCAACTCTCATAGATCGTCACTGTCTCCCTCCAGGCACCATTACATCAGTCACAATCACTACCCTAATCGTTAACCTAATCCCAAATGGCCACTAAAAATTGTGGACACAAAACGCACGCGCTGCGACATTTTATAAAGACCAATATAATGGATAACCAAGAAAGGAAAATAAATAAATAAATAAAATAACATGACATACCACAACACAAGACAAGTCAATTTGATAGAGGATAAGATTTTAAAATTTTCATATTTTAACGGTTTAAATAAATTTTAAAAAGAAGATTTTTTTTATTGGTTGCTTAATTTTGAATTTTTTTTTAAATTTATAAAGATTTTTTATAAAAAGAATGTTATATTTGCATCCTACAAACTTAATAAAATTGCATTGAAGTGGTGGAATGGATTGCAAGATTATCGAGTTTGCAAAGGTAAAGACAAAATTTATTCATGATTAATAATAATAAAGTTTTTAGCAACAAAATTTTACTTTAATGATCATAAAAATATATTATCATATACAAATTAAGATACTTCCATGGAGTTGGTAAAAATTTGCAATGAAATTGTAGTTGCGAAAGAAAAGAATTCGCATCCAAATATTATTTGTGGTGAGATTTTTTGTAAAACTAATGAAGAAGATACAAAGTCTTATTCGAGTGTTGATGATGCATCAACACATGGTAATTTGAATATTGGGAAGAAATTTTTACAAACAAATCATAAAACTATTGAGGAAGAAGGAGATCTGATTGGCAATGAAATTGTAGTTGCGAAAGAAAAGAATTTGCATCCAAATATTATTAGTGGTGAGATTTTTTGTAAAACTAATGAAGAAGATACAAAGTCTTATTCGAGTGTTGATGATGCATCAACACATGGTAATTTGAATATTGGGAAGAAATTTTTACAAACAAATCATAAAACTATTGAGGAAGAAGGAGATCTGATTGAGCCCAGTAACAAAGAGAAAATAGAAGAAGAGATAATACAACCGTTGCATGCAATAAAGAAATTGGTTGATGCTACACTTGATATTCCAAAGTTGATAATTGAAGGATCAATTGAATCTGGGATGGTGCAACATCAAGAGAGCATGCAAGTTCTACATAAAGTAAATTTAGTTGATTTTCTTGGTGTTAAGCAATTTAATTTGATTTTTAATACTTGTCTAATTAATCTTGGTTGAAGCATGTAGAGAAGAATTTTCAGAAAGAAAACTCCTCTATATACAACTTTTGGAAGAGGAGCAAGCAACTAAAATATTCAAAATATCTCTTTATTTGGCATGGAAGATGGCAGATATCTAATATGAACTCGAGGACGAGTTCTTTCAAAGAAAAGAAGTCTGATGTAAGACAAGATTTTAAGAATTTTTGATATTTTTAGTTTTAATATTTTTGATATATTATTTATTAATTTTATTATTTTAGAATTAGATTTTGACTAGGATTTTAAATAGTTTAAAATTTTAGTTTCCTATTTTCCTAGGTTTCCTTATTTGTATTGATTTAAGTTTTCTAATTTATTTTAAAATTACTTTTCCTACAAGTATTAAGTTTAGTTTATTATAAATAGCTATATAAGCCTCATGGCAAAGAGAACTTTTATTTATTCAATTAATAATATTTTGAAGAGTTTTTCTTCAATCT